ATTTCCCGCGATTTTGAGCAACGCGGTGACCGGCGCGCACACAAGTTTCTGCAGGCAAGGTCCCCAAGTCGTCCCTGCTATCCAAGTTTGGTGGCCCCGGCCGGCAGGCTTGTCACAGAGTTGCTGGTGAAGGGTTTTGGTTCCCACAGGCACCGCTGGGTCACACACGGAAACTCAACGCGTCCCTTTTTGAAGAACTGCCTGTTTCCCGACGTGGCTGCACCCTGTGTGGACCCACAGCAGTGTCGTGAGGACTCCGGTTTCCCCATGTCCTTGTCCACACCTGTTACGTCTTTTGGATTCCAGGGTCATCCCAGTGGATGTGAAGTGACACCCTGGAGGACCTTTCCTGTGCTTATTAAGAGACAGGGCCTCACTGAGTTGCCTGGCGCCTCACTGAGTTGCTGAGGCTGGCCTCCAACTTGTGATCCTCCTGCCTCAGCCTCCCAAGCTGCTGGGATTAGAGGCCTGCATCTTCTTTGGAGAAATATCTATCCGGATCCAAAGGCTGTTTTTAGAAGAAATGCTCTCTCTATCCTAATGCCTAGATGACCTGTTCATGGTCACATCTCTTCAAAGCTCAGCTAGAAGTGACCACGCCCGTGACTAGTTTGGCCAGGGAGAGGAAGACGAGAGCTGCTGGCTACAAGACCCTGAGCTGTCTTTCACAGGAGGCTGCCTTCCCTCATAGAAAAAACACTTTTCCTTTAGCCACTACCCTTCCTGCCCGGATGGGATGAGATGGCTGCAGCTCCAGCAGCCATCTTGAGGCACAAGGTTACCCTGAAGAGGAAAGCTATGCGTTACCCACCATCATCCCTTCACCACCTACCACCAAACTCCTCTGGCCCCAGACTGAGCCACTCATGTCCTTAAGCCACTTAATTCAGATCTCGGTTCATCCTGACTGACAACCAGTCCCACGAGATCATCTCTCCTTTCCATTTATCCGATTTTTATTCTGCCATTCATCTTTAGGTCACTGAGATGTGGGCCGTGCCCCGGAGCCGCTCAGTGGCTGACAAAACAGGACGGTGGCAGTGACCCTCCATGGAGAGATGTCCACAATGCTGGGGACATCCAAGGAAGGGAGCCAAAGGGAGCCAAAGGGAGCAGTGCTGGTGGATGCTCCTGGGGATGAGCAAGAGCTGCCAAGTGCACAGGAAGGGGGGCTTCCTAGCCACAGGAACAGTGAACACACCCACTGTGCTGCCGCTCATGTGAAAGCGTAGCACGTGCAAATTACGCGTGGTACACAATACACAAGGGTCATAACTAGGGAGCTGGTCTGGGTGTTTTCTCTATTTTTAATCATTAGAGTGTTCTACTTATAAAAGCAAATTTGTTGTGAAAGTGTATTTGTCAGCAGTGGGTTACTGCAACAAAATGCCTGAGACAGGCTGCTTAGGAAGCAAAGAGGTTTATTTGGCTCAGAGTGGAGGTGATTCAAGGGCATGGTGTTGGGTATTTTCCTGGCTGCGTTATATCAACGTGGAAGGGTGTGTGTGTGTGTGTGTGTGTGTGTGAGCTGACACTGCCAAACACCAAGTCACAGAGACAGAGACACACACACACACACACACAGGAGTCCCATGATTCCTCTGTAGGCACAGACCCAGTGGCCCCAGAACCTTCCATTAGACCTGACCTTTTAAAGGTTCATAGCAACTCCCAATGCCGTCCCCTGCAGATGAGCCTTCAATGGCAAAGGGCCCTCGGGGGACACTGTGGCAAACAGGCTGCTTCAGCCACCAGGAGCCCCCATACATCTCGTTTACTGTCCCCTGAATGCAGCAGGAGGCTAGCGGAGGGGCTGATGTATACCCCTTGGACCCCACAGCGTCTGCACAGACAGAATCACCTAATGACACATTCCCATCCTTAAGTGGTGCATGACAGTCCTCGACTATGTCACCTTTAGTGGAAGTTGTGTCCCGTATGAAGTCTCGTCTCTGCAAATGGGGGCAGGGACAGCTGGCCTCTGTCCCTTCTGTAGTCCACCATGCTAAGTCTGGGGTTCCCAAGAGCCAGAAACTGAACAATATCTGTGACACGGACGTCCGACAGACAGCCTGAGGGTCCCACAGAGGTGGCAACCAGCAAAGTTTCATGAAGCCATTCCCAGAAAATAAAACTTAAAAATCATATGATGAATGTTCAAAGGACTTAAGGAACGACTCCATTAGTCCAACGCATATTTTTTGGACTGGACTGAATCCAGGGCACGTTAACATTGAGCTATGTCCCCAGTCGTTTTTATTTTCTTTGACAGCTGGCTAAGCTGCTGGCCTCCACCTTGCGATCCTCCTGCCTCAGCCTCCTGACCTGCTGGGATTACAGGCGGGCACCCTGCACCCAGCTCTCCACATTTTCTGACAAACTGCTGCCAAGTCTCCTCTGCCCCAGGGCAGGGTGCAGGACAGAGGAGGAGGAAAGCTCAGGGTCTGTCCTGAGGGACACTCGGGGAGAGGAAGCTACGGGCAGAGGGACGCTCCTAGTCGGGCAGAATGGGGACCCAGAGGAGGAGCCTGGGACTGTGATGTCCCCATGGGTCACGCGGGACACTGGTCCCCACCCCCCAGGCTGTGAGGATGAGTGTGTCGGTGCTCATGAGGGGACAACAGGTGACAAGCAAGTCATGTCCTTGGGAACAGTAAACAGAAACAGGACACCGGGCCCTGCCAGGAGGAAGGCCGGGGGACCCGGGTGGGGACCGTGCAGGCAGAGCGGGCACCGACCTGAGGAGCTGTTGTGGGTGGAAATGTCCCCACGGAAGGCTCTAAGGAGACTGGGCTCCGGGTCCCCTGGTCCTGCCTCTCCTGGCCCTCTCCTCCAGCTCCTGGCTCTCCGGGGCCAGGAAGCCTCTCGGTAAAGGCCTGAGGCTGGGACAGTCACATGCTGCCATGACCAAGTGGACAAGACACTGGGCGGGCGCCAGGTGCCGCGCTGTGGTGGCCTGGCCCACAGGACAGCTGGACAGACTCTCGGATCTTCTCAGCAGGGAGGGGAGGGACGGGCCAGCTGGCGCAGGTGGACGTTAGATGAAGGAGCCGCCCGGGTGGACTGTCCAGAGAACCCTCCTCCTCACCAGGGGGCGTCTGGGGTGCCCAGGGCCACTGCGGAGGTGGCTCTCCTGACAGGGCCCATCGCAAAACATAAAGTGACCAGCCACTGACCGAGTGGGGCCACCGCCCAGAGCAATGGCCGAGGGGAGGGCTTCAGAGATGGTGCTGGGGTCAAAGTCAGAGATGCCCCAGCCACTGCATCCCTCTTGGTGACGCGGACAGGTGACAATCCGTGTCACCTCGATGGACTGTTGGGGGCAGTGATTAAAATGACCCAGCAGCCCCGACTTTAAGATGTTAAGTGAAAGGAAAAAACACAGGACCCCGGACACCCGGGACACGTCCCTGCGAAACCGTCACAGACCAGAGCTCGGCAGCAGGCGAGAGGGGCTTCGGGTGAGGGTGATCATTTTGGGCAAGACGACAAATGACAACCATGTCCCCACAGGGACGGCAGCACGGTGCTCAGAAGGGTCTGTGACGGGGACAGGGTCCCCCTCCTGGACTTTCTGAGCCACAGCAGCTGGGCGTGGACGGCAGCCTGGACGAGTGGGGGGAGAAGACGGTCAAGTTCAAGTTCAGGGACGTCTCAGAGGCGCCACAGGCCCCAGGAAGGCCCCCCAGCCAGGCCGCGGCCACCAGAGGGACCTTTCCGGGGCAGGGAGAGGGTGGCCTTTGAGGTGTGGTGGAGTGAACGTCTACACTGAGTGGGAAGGACAGCTGTCACCGCTCCTGTCACTGGACAGACGAGCTTGCTGTGCGTGAGTGTGTGACGCGGCCCTGGACTGAGAAGCACCAGGAGGACACCCATCCTGCCCAGGACAGATGGACACCTGCTTTTCGGGAACACGTGGCTTTCCCAGCCCATGACCCCAGGTCCCTGGTCCCCGACACCACGCACCCTCTGGACGTGCGGGCGGGTGTCCAGGGCCTCCAGGAGCCCGGCCTGCCAGCTGGGACGGCCAGGAGGGACGGGACATGACGGGGCGGGGCCCAGTGGGTCCTGGTGGACCCCGCACTCACCTGGACCTGCCGTGGTCCCCACCAGCTGCGGACATGGAAGGGCCTGGCCTGTCTGGCTTGAGGGCACCGTCCTCGGCTGGCTGCGGGGTAACTGTCAGACCAGTACCCGCCGCTGGCCCTCGGGTTCCGGGTTCTACCGCCTCATCTGGATGTCACAGAGCTCACTGGGCCCACCCAGGCCGGGGACAGACCCAGTGAGAACCAACGATCCAAAGCAATGTCTCCTAAAACGTCAGAAGGTGGGGACGAGGCGCGGCCACAACTCGACACTGCTTGCTCCTGAGTTAAAAATGGCCCAGGGCGATGGCCATGTCCAAGGTGTGCCTGGAGGGCCAGCTGCCCGCCCTGCAGCTCCTACGGGACCCCGCACACCGGAAGCAGATCTGGACCCAGGTCAGCGCCACTAAGCAACTAAATTATAATTTCATCAAATTTAAAACTTGGTGCTGAATTGGGTCATTGGAACCACTCTACGGGCGCTGAGGTGTATCGGGGACCTCCTGGATGGGAGTCTGCTTTTTCCAACTGAGTATTTCATGGTTTCTAAACACGGATCCAACTTTCTGGGTGGAAAGGAAATGTCAAACAGCCGTGAACACCTTCCAGGTATGGGCTACAGGCTAAAATGGCTTTGGACACGCTGGGCTGAGTAAGACACATCACGAAGTTAACTTCACGTTTTAAGTGTGGTTCCCAGGAAACTGGAAATGAGCTGGGCCCGGTGGTCACGAGGGTAATCCAGTGCTTGGAGGCTGAGGCAGGAGGATGAGAATTCAAGGCCAGCCTCAGCAATTTATGGAGGCCCTGAGCCTCTCAGCGAGGCCCTGTCTCTAATTAAAATATAAAAACGGCTGGGGACGGCTGAGTGGTTAAAGTACCTGATTCAATCCTGTTTTTTTTTTTTTAAAAAAAAAGACACTGGTGGCCGGGGTTCCTACAGGGCAGCGCTGCCCTTGCACCTGGACCTGAACTTGAGGGTCTCTACCGCCACCTGCTGGACAGGCTGCTACCAACAGGACCTGGAGGAACGGGGAGGCCTGGGAACCGGGCTGCGGATCCCCAGAGCACAGCCGCACTGCACTGGGCTGAGGACTCAAGAACTGGGTTTATGCTGTCACAAGGGCCTGGAGAGAGGGTCACCTGTCTCTGTGACCCGGAGGCAGTGTGCCCCACAGCGGCCACTCAACAGTGGCCACGAGGTGAGGTGCTCACTGCTGCTGTCCAGGATGGTCTGTGGTACTTGTCGGGCCCCTTCTGCCCCCTGGCTGCGTCCACCCCTCGTCCTCCTGGTGACAGCTTGACAGAGCCCCTCCTCCCGCCTTCCTCCTGTCATCTACTGGGTCTCCCCTTTCCTACTTGTCTCTTGGTGTCCCGCGGCTCTGATTCCTTTTACTATTCCAATATTTTTGGCCTCTTCCTCTGTCCTACAGACCACTTCAGCGGTTGGTTCTTCTACTCCTGATATTTAAGTTTTTGGCTGATTTTTGTCTATGGGACAAGATAAAAGCCCAAGGTCATCATTGTGCCTGGGACGTTCGGGGGGCCCAGGTCCCTGCTGGAGGCTCCTCTCTCCCCCTGGACGGTCTTGGCCTTGTCCTTGTCAAAAGCCAAGAGACCCTGAAGCCAGGCTTGCCCCTGACCTGTGGCCTGTGCTGGGCCAACACCAGGCCCTCGGGATCACGGACTGGGGCTGCGCAGTACGTGTGCGACTCGGGCAGTGACAGTCCCCAGGCTCTGTCCCCTGACAAGACTCTGGTGGCTACTCCGGGTCCCTTGCATCTCCTGGTGGATTTTAGGGTCACCTGTCGCTTTCTGCAGAAAAGGCAGCTGGTCTAGTGGGGCCCAATGAGTAGGCGTGGAAAGAGGGTTTGATGACGAGACCAACTGGTGACACCATGACACAGGTCTGATGGCTTCGCCCGTCTTTCTAGAGTTCAGAGGTGGCTTTCTCAGGGCCTGGGTGGCTCAGACAGTGCTCACCTTGTTAGTAAGGCCCCAGGGGACTCAGGGACTGAGGGAGGCTTGGGGGAACGGGGGACCGAGGGGCAGGAGGGCCGAACAGCTTTACTTGTCACAACTAAGGAGCAGCGGGCTTTGGGCCCAGCAGCCTCCGGGACACCCGGGTCCTGAACACACTTGTCAGACGGCCGCTGTGCACGCAGGTGTGCGGAAGGGACAGTGTTGACGGCAGAAGCACGTCAAGGACTTCCTCATCGGCCTCTCATGAAGCGCCCTTCCCTGGTCTCACCACGGCAGTGTGACTCTATGCCACCAGCTCCAGGGTCCTCGTGGATGCTGGACCATCCTGACCCCACTCACTGTCCCCCACCTGCGCCCGGTCAAGGGACCTGGAAGCTGGATCTCTGAAACGAAGGCTCGGGGATTCGCAGGGTCTGGGAACGGGACCTTGGATCTGGGTCACGGGTGGGCATGGACCAGTCCCAGTCCTCGACTTCAGGGGACCCACGCTTCTCCTCCTCCACAGCCGCACAGCTGCAGTCCAAGGGGACCCTAACTGGATCGGGGCCGTGTGAAGGGACACAGGGAGCCTCCACCCATCAGAGGGGAAGGAACTGCCCACTGCCAACGGTTCTCGTCCCTTCTGTCCCTCAGTGGGAAATCCAGCCTGGAGCCCAGGCCTTCCAGGGACAGTACAGGAGGACAGGAAGCCTGTCCCTAAAGCTGTGTCCCCTCTCTGAGAGGAAGACGCTGTCCACAGCACACACCAAGGCAGAATGCGTCCCAGGTCATGTCACCTGCTTGTAATAGGAGATCATCTCATCCAGAGTCTCAAAGGTGACCCTGGGGGGTTGGGGTGGGCCTCCAGGGGCAGAGGACGACGGTGACTGTGCGGAGCTGGGCTCCTGGCTCTGGCCAGGCCGCTGCCCTGGGTCACCCGGTGCTGGTCCAGGTCTGTTCCACGTCTGGCCACTGCAAGCACCAGTTCTCTTCTGACCCACAAAGTAATCGGATGGCGGGGCAAACTCGGGGTCTCGCTCGGCCCGCAGGTCTGACTGCCTCTTGGACCAGTATCCAAAGGAAAATTCTGGTGACAATAAGAAAGAGCACTGTTAGAATCCGTTAAATTCAGAGTGATTGTTTTACCATCGTCGTGCATCTTTTCCTTTGGTACCAGGGATTGAACCCTGGGGTGCCTCACCACTGAGCCACATCCCCAGCCCTTTTTATTGTTTATTTTGGGACAGGGTCTTATTAAGTCACTGAGGCTGGCCTCCAACTTGTGATCCTCCTGTCTCAGCCTCCTGAGCTGCTGGAATTACAGACATGCTCCACCCTGCCCTGCTCAGTTATCATATCTATATTTTTAAAAATCACAAATTCTTGAAGAACAAGGATAGCAACAACAAAACCCTATTATAAGGTAAGCAATAATAGTTGCACGAAGTCAGGCTAAGGGAAGGGAGAAACGACTCCACTACATCTGAGAGTGAAACAGAGAACAACAGGACTGTCAGACATGGGAGGCACTTGGCACCCAAACACAAATCTTGCCCTTACTGAGTGTTTGAAGGTGTGAAGTGGCCTGTGAGGCCCAGCCTGACTGGTTTTTCTACTCTACTTCTAAGTGGCCCTGGTGTTTCCCGCTCTTCAGCTCTGGATCGCATCCGCCCGGGCAGTGCAGCTCAGGTTCTGCTGGAATGATCCCTTCTCAGGAGGCACAAGCCGGTCTCCCCAGGAGAGGCTGCTGCAGGCCCTCGGTCAACTTGCAGGAATGAGTTTACAGACAAGTCTGCTCACGGGGAGCCAGGCTAAGGGGGCCACGCAAGTCACTTCCACTGTGCACACGGGAGACTGCTGGGCAGGGGCTTCGCAACACCAGACCTGCATCCCCACACCTTAAAGTGGTTCCTGAAAAGGGACGTTCCAGAACTGTGAAACCACGGGAGGGCATGGATCCTGCTCCCCAAGTGCTTCTCTCTCTCACACACACACACACACACACATACGCACACACTCTCTCTCTCTCTCTCCATGAGGCCTTTGTGGGTAGGTCCTGGTCTTTTCCCAGGACATTTTCTAGCTGTGTTCACAAACAGCTGGTGACAAGCCAAGATCAACGTGAGGATCTGGGGTTTCCTAAGCCTCGAGGGACCCCAAGACCCACCACGGAGCTGGGCGTGTGGCTCAGCAGAGGGGCATGTGCCCTGCACAGAAGAATGAGAAACAGAGAACCCACTTTGACTTAAAAGCAAAACCAGCACAGCCCCCTGCCGCCTGCCTGGCCTCACTTACCCTTCCCTCTGTCCCACTCGCGGACGTGTGGCACGCCGGGCTTGGTGTCCCTCCTCTCCTGGATGATGACTTCGACTTTGCTGCTCTGGGCAGCAGGAGGCGGAGCTGGCCCAGCTTCTGGTTCTGGAGCCGGAGGCCCAATAACAGCTGCGTCTGTTTTTGGTAAGGAAACAAAGTCCTCCTTATGACAAGGGAAGAACCAGACGTGCCACTCCTGAGAGACAAGTGGCGCTCAGGGCTTACAAGCTTCAGCTCAGCAATGTCCCACGGGGGTCAGACCCCAGCAGGGTGGACACGAGTCTCTGTCCCCACCACGTCTCTACTAGACAACTGGGGATCTCAGGACCAGAAGCGCCCCAAGTCCTCAACCCGAGTCACACTCCCAGCACAGCAGCGAGGCTGGGGGTGCAGAGCGGGACCTGCTCAGGCTGCGCCCCTCGGGCCAGATTTTAAATTTCTAAATGAGACGATTTCTCAAAAACACGGCAGTGACCCTTCTCAGCTGGGAATGACGGGCGTTCAGGACCCACAGCAAAAAAGCAGGCGACACGAAGAGCTCAATTGGCACGAAACGACGACGCCTAAATGCAAGTTTTCAGATTTCTAGATCTTTCTGGTCTCCTTTCAGGGCTAACTGAGGGTTTGCTCAGATGTTAGAAAACGGCTCCCTGCAGCCCCAGGCCGCCCCCCCCTGCAGCCTGTCTGCCCTTAGCCTGGGCCCTGCCTGGGGGCTGTCAAGCACAGGTTCTGGGTGACTTCTCAAGAGGAAGCGGCTCCCCTGTCCTCCTGGCCCCTTCCCTGGGCTGACGGGGAGTGGAGCTGGGGAGAGCTCTGGCCTCCAGGACAGCAGGACGCGGAGGACCCCCTGGGGCAGAGCTGCCCTGCGAGCCCCCCACCCAGCCACCTCTGAAGTACTAAAGGGACAAACAGACCTCTGTCTTCTCTGCCCCACAAGGTCCCACTGCAGTAGCTCAGCTGCCTCTCCATCCCGCACACAGGAAGCTAGTGGGACAGCACTGAGCAGCGTAGCCGAGGGACGCTGTGCCCCCAGTGCCCAGTCACCAACTGCGGCAGCACTGTTTTTTGGTAATCTGTCTTATTCATGTCTCTGAAGTTTTATTTTATTAACAAGTTTATGAATGAATTTGAAAGCAAGAGGATGCGGGAAAGGCCCACTCACACTGCTGGTGGCCTGCAAACGGGGCAGCCAACATGGAGAGCAGCATGGAGACTGCTCAGGAAACTGGGAATGGAACCACCATGTGACCCAGCTGACCCTCTCCTCGGTCTATACCCAAAGGACTTAAAAATGACCATACTACAGGGACACAGCCACATCAGTGTTTACAGCAGCACGATTCACAACAGCTAAACTGTGGAGCCAACCTAGATGCCCTTCAGTGGATGAATGATAAAGAAAATGTGGCATATATACACAGTGGAATATTACTCAGCAATAAAAGAGAATAAAATGATGGCATTGGCAGGTAAATGGATGGAGTTAGAGAATATCCTGCTAAGTGAAGTTAGCCAATCCCCAACAACCAAAGGCTGATCCATAAAGGGGGAGGGGGCATGGGAGGAATGGGGGGGACAGGGACAAAGGGGAGGGCGGGTTGGGGAGGGGGTACGAGGGCAGGAAAGATGGGGGAATGAGATGGACGTCATTACCCAGGTACACGTATGACTGCACCTATGATCTGACGCTCCACAGTGTACAACCAGAGAAGTGAAAAGTTGTGCTGCAGCTGTGCCCAGTGACTCAAAAGGCATCCTGCTGTCATTCTGCTGTCGTATGCGCATAATCAGAATGAATTTCAAAAAGTACTACAGCCATTAGTAAAAAAAAAAAAAAAGATGTCCAAAAAGCAAGGAGGAAGTGTGAATGTTCCCCCAATAGAGACCTAGTGAACACACTTGCCCTGGTTTAGGAACGACACACACAGTGCACTTGTGCAGATATGGAACAGCAAAGTCCCCACCCACACAGTCGGGTGGCTGGGCGTCGGCCCAAGAAAGGGCTACACAAGGCGTGCACGTACCCACACGTCACGACGTCACGTGGACCCCGTGAGTACGCACAATTGTTTTGTGTATTTAAAAAATAAAAATAAAAGTGTTAATTCCGTGATACACATGCGCATGCGTACACTTTCCCTAAGGTGCTTTTCTGTGGGTCTTGGTGACTGACCCACCGCGTTGGGAGGCGCCCAGTGAATTATCTGTCTGTCGTGCAGAAGTATTTCAGTGTCATCTGCATCACTCTGGTCACACACGCTGCTCGTGCAGGACCGCAGCCTGCTGTTAAAGGCTCAGGTAAACCGAGGCTCGCCCCCCACAGCAGCCCTGCAGGGGGACGCAGACGGAACCAGCTCCCCCTCCTGAGGGCCAGAGCCCTGAGCCGCGCGCTACCTGGGTGGCCCTCTTCCGTCCCGTCCTCTTTGGATTTTTTCATCTTCTTTTGGCGCAGCTTGGCCAACCTGGCTTCCAACAGAGCCTTCCGCTTTTCCTTTATGTTTTCCCGTTTGATTCTCTGATCTGTTGTCTAGAGAAAAAGCCAGAAAATTATATTTTGGGGAGTCAGATTCACAATATTTCTTTCCAAAAGGATGAAATAGTTTTCTGCATCTGTCCCCACACGACTACCAAACACAGAAAAAGAGAATAACTCTTAATGTCTTAGGAAGTTTAAGAAGAACACCTTGAAACCAAAGGCTGGATGTTCTCCCTGACAGGTGGACGCTGCCCGCGTACCTGCTCGCGCAGCGTCTCCAAGGTCTTCATCTGCTTGCTCCTCAGCTCCTGGTCTCGGGCAAAGGCAAAATACCCAACGCCCAGCTGCCGGGCCTCTGGAAGGAGTCAGCGAGATGCAGAGGTGAGACTTCCCTGAGCACCAGACGATGCCCGGGCCAGATTTCCCACCCACACCCAAAAGGAACCATTGCTCTTTGCACAGGTTTTTAAAAATGCCCCATTTTTTCAATGCACAATTAGGCCAAAGAACAGAAACAAAGTTGGAACTACTTTTTATCTTGTTTGCAAAGATGCGTCCACCTCCAGCCACAGCTGTCCGTAACAGCTGGGTCCACAGACGCTGCGGGAAGGAGGTGTTCTCCATGTGAGTGTCCCCTGGGCTCTCGAGTGGGCAAGGGGCATCACGCCAAGGCAGGGTCTCCTCTGCCAGAGCCACCGCCTGTGAGTGCTCCCCGTTACACCTGTCCCCAGGCCACGATCTTAGAAAGTGGCTTGAGAAGCTGCAGGGAACCAGCAATACCGTTCTCCCGGATGTCCTCATAGTGCAGGGGACCCACGGGCCGCTGCAGGGCCTCCCGCTCCTCCTCCTCCCACTGCTGACGCTGCAGCTCCTTCCTCATGTCCTCCGACAGCAGGGTCTTCTCGTTGGCAGGACTGACGAAGCTGGGGGGGACACGGCACAGTAAGGCTCGCTGCAGGTCACCCCGGGGTGGCCCTGCTGGAGCTCAGCGGCGGGGACCAGGGAAAGCAACACTGTTTGGTAGGGACAACAGCTCCCCACAGGGGCTTCTGGTCTACAAGACCACTGGTGGTCAGCGCAGGAGTTTCATCTTTTAAACCAAGCGCCAGGCTGGCCGCTCAGCACAAGGGGCTCTTGCTCTATGACTAAGGTTCTCGCAAGACGGGAGGTGGCCTGGGCAGAGGGAGGAAGCGGGGCCTGTGTGCATGGCCACCAGGGACACAGAGCTGCCCAACACCGCACCCAGGGGGCCTCCTGGCCCGAGGTGGCCGAGGTTGCCGCAGTCCTTTCCTGTGCAGGGCCCAGGCCTGTCCACAGGATGCCCAAACCTGGGGGGTGGGACAAGGTGGCGTTTTGGCCAACCCTTTTATACAGAAGTGGCTCAGGGAAGAGGGAGTCTGTTCCCGGATGTTTTAGCAAGTTCGATCCCACGAGGGGAAGGGAGAATGGGGCCTTTATTTAAAACCCAAAGACGATCAAAGGGAGAGCAAGTGAGCCAAGGCTGCCCACCCACCTGCCTGTGGGTGAGTGAAGGTGTTGGTTCTCAGGCCCCATGTCCACCAAGCCTCGCTGTGGGCCTTCCCTGGTCTCCCTCTGCACCGGTCACTCTGCCATCAGCCCCCAAGCTCCATCAGTTCCTTTCAGGAGCTGCGATACACAGATGATCGGAGCAGGTGCCCACAGAGGCCTTCACCACCCGGGAGGCTGAGGCAGGAGGACGGCTGAGGACCAGGAGTCCAGGACACAAGGAGAAAGACTCTCCCTGGGTGTGGGCCACAAACGTACGGGCAGGCCACCTACTGGAGGGCTTCCCTAAGTGCTCGTGAAGGAAACAGAGACGACCACACAGAGCCTCTATGACCATGGCACCTAACGCAGGGACGTGGACGTGCAGGGACGTGGCCGCGCAGACCTGCCCGGGGGAGCCGAGGTACTCACAGTCTCCCCTGCAGGTTCTTGTCCATCTCCAGCAGACCCGGCAGGTCCTTCCTCATGCAGCGCCGGGATCGCCCCAGAGAGTCCACGTAATCCACCCTGAAATCAGTGACAAGGCGTGAGAAGGCATGGCACCCCGGTCCCCAGGTCAGGGACATGGAGCCAGCGAGGAGGGGATGCAGGCTCAGCCACCACCGAGAACACGCTTCTTAACACGGGCACACGACGGGCTGAGGCCCAAGGGCCTCCACCAGACCTTTCAGTTTCAGAGGCCACAGCTGACACTCGGCCTCTGGTTTCAAAGGTGACTCTCCTCCCACCGAGAAACCTGCCCCACCACCTGGGAACCCACCGCCTGTTGTCAGGTGGTCACAAACACAGCATCAGCATCCCGTGACTTCACTTTGTCCCCTGGGTCCCCACTGCCCATTTCCTTAGGTTCCTCTGAGTCTGACTTTTTGTTTCCTTTATTTCTCCCAATGGGGACAATTCTTCCCAAGGAGTCAGAAATCAATTATCATATGTCATTGTGCTTTCTGGGCCTTAATTAGGGGGAAACCAAACACTGCCCCTCTGTCCTGGTGTCTGTCTGGTCTAGATGGTGGGGACAGGGGGATAGGGTGGGAGGGAGACGCTGACATTTCACCCACGTTATGACGCGTTCTCCCCGGCCTTCAGCAGGGCCCTGGGCGCACAGTGGGGCCTCAATGAGGACTGACTGGTGGAACCATCGGGCTCAGGCTCCGCGGGCTGGGTGTCTCCGGCTGGCCACTCCCTTCCTAGCGGGCAACGCTGATTTCAATCAATGGCCCCTGATTTAGAACCCGAGGGTCTGGGCTTCCCGTCCTGTGTCCCACCACTGATCCAGCGGAGAAGCAGAACCTCCAACTGCGGAAAGCCGCTTCTTCCCTTTTTCTAATGAATGGGAGGGAAGACAGCAGCCAGATGGTCCGAGGGATTATTTACGGTATTTTTTGGGGGGGAAGATTTTCCACCACCTGGAACTTAACTCCTCAGAGGACTTGCCAAGCAGTTGGATTCTGGAGCTTGGTGTAAAAACAAAATAAAACACAAAGCACCAGAACGGCTTGCGGTGCGTCCTCCTTCACCACGGGGTGGCATGTGACACTGCGCGTGTCCCCAGAGCTCTTCAAATCACTGGCAAACCGCTCGTGGCCACAGAGGCCTTAATAAGCCAAAGGTCTACAGGAGACGTCAGGCTTTCAAGGGCCTGTTCTGCTTCTGAGGCCCCAGCTCAGACCCCTCAAAGCAGAGCAGGGCGGTGGCGGCTGTATCAGCGGTCCCTCGTCACCAAGCAAGCCCTGTTCTGGGCCAATGAGGGGAACCAAGGGTGACTCCAAGGAGGGTTAATGTCACCTCATCTCCAAAGGGCTCTGGGGAGGGTGACACGTGGGCCCAGGAGAGGCCAATGCCATCAGGCAGGACCCAAGGACGACCCTGTGTCTTCTCAGATGTTTTCCTGGCAAGTGTCAATCATAAGTCAAGACCCCCCAAAGCAGGAAGTGCATTAAGTGTCACCCAAGTTCAGAGCAGGGAGAAATCAGATCAGCAATGGGGACGAGGGCTGTGACACGGGATGGGACCCTGTCTTTGGGCCTATATAGTGTGTGGCTACCCCACCCCCAGCGACCCAGCTAGGAGTCCTAGGAGATGAGACGACACCTCCTTCATCCTCGGGCCACCGTGGCCACCTTGTGAGGTGAGGACACAGGTTCTCTGCTGTCTTTGGCTCTTAAGTGACCAACGTGGGCCAAGGGCGAAAAACCGCTAACAAAGGCCACCACCCGTCCTGGGCAGCTGGTGAGAACTACCCATTCCCCCCACCCAGTGCAGACCCCCGAGGCTCGCAGGCAGGGCGGGGGCAGGGCTGGCCCGGGAAGGGGTCAGAGGTGCCCAGGACCCACAGACACTGCCCACCAGGGCTCCTAACGACCACGTCGCAGGCAGAGACTCCACCACGGTGGGACTGTCATTCCGGGCTTTGTAAGGAAGGGCTCTGTCCCCACCCCTTCATCTACACGGAGGTGGCACCCAGAAATCGCCCGTGAGAAAGCTCCCCAGGCGCCTGGGGACCTCCGGAGAGCAGCGCCCAGGTGGCCCCGGGGTGCTGTCACCTCCTGAGGGGACCACAAAGCCAAGGTCACGGGAACACACACACACTGCAGCCTCCACCTTACAGATGAGGTCAGAAAGGTGACTGTGGTCACGCGGACAGCAGTGGGTGGCAGTGGAGCTGTCCAAGGCCACAGTGCCATACCCCACGGCTGGAAAATGACACGGCCACAGCGGGGCTCGACTGGGGGCTCCCGCTTCTGCCTAAACAGCTCTTCGGCGTCGGTGAGCAAAGTGCAGAGGGCGTCCCCAAGCACCCCTGGGCCTGGCACAGCGCTGGATGTCAGCAAGGGCTCGGTCGTCACATGTGATGGCTGTTGTCTCTGTGGGAGCCGCTGCCTGACCTCTGTGACACCCTGACCACCCTCACTTAAGAGGGGTCCCCAGTCAGGGGCACTGGCGCACACCTGTCATCCCAGGGGCTGGGGAGGCTGAGGCAGGAGGATTGTGAGGTCAAGGCCAGCCTCAACAAGAGTGAGGCCCTAAGCAGCTCAGGGAGACCCTGTCTCTAAATAAAATACAAAACAGGGCTGGGGACGGGGCTCAGGGGTCGAGGGCCCCAGGTCCAAGCCCTGGAACTAAAACATAAAGCGTCCAAAGACAGAAAACCCACACACAGCACCCACCATTCCTCACTGGGGTCCTGGGGGGGAGGTATGTCTCTGTCTGAGAGACGCTCGTCGTCCTCGTCGTCCCTCTCGGCCGTGTTCCGGGACTCTCTGGCGGCACGGGAAGCCTCCATCTCCCTGCGCTTGTCTATGAGCTTCTGGGTGAAGTCCACGAGGTACAGCTCCTCCACCTCCTCGTCTAGGACACAGGGACAACATTCAGGCCTCGATGTCACGGAAGGGAAACACCCAGGACCCTGTGCCAGGTCCCCGGGAGGCTCCACTGTGCCTGCCAGCTCAGCAGCCAACGTCCCCACCCTGGGAAGGCCACCAAGGCACAGAGGGGCCCGCCCCTGAGGGGAGCTGGGAGCAGGCCACGGGAGTCGTGGACACACAGAAGCTGCAGTTTCCTGCCACCGTCTCAGGACGCCCTGGGGACGCCACAGCCCTGCCTTCCTCAGGCCATCAGGTGAGGACGGGGACCTGGCTCTGCTGCAGGCCCCACACACCTCCCTGACCAAGGCCACGTCCCCTGCCTCACACAGGGAAAGGACTTCTTTTCCAGCCAGTGGCCTTGGCGTTCAGACAGGCCCAGGCCCGCTCTGCAGGGCACACAGGGGGCAGGTGATGTCCGCCTGCAGGCCTTAGGTCACCGAGGACCAGAACACAGGGACAGTCACGCAGCACCCCGACTTTAACTTAACCCAGGACAGCTCCTGTGTGCACAGGTTAAGGGAAATGCCACCGTGCTGGGTTGAGATGCACTTAGGAGAGGCAGTGGTGACCCAGGGCCAGCCCTGCCTGTCCCCTAGCTACTCCCGGGCCCCAGGCTGGGCTCCTGCTGGCCAGCCCCTCCCTCACCCATCTGCTCCCCAGACCCTGCACACCTTAGGGGGCACCCCATGGCCCCCCTCCTTCCTGATAATCACCCGGCCACAGACCCACGGTCCCTGTCCTCTGGGAATGGAATGTACACTGCCCCATAAAAGCCTGTCCCACTGCTGGCTAACTGTGAGCTGGACTTTCTTTCTCTGGGGGTCTGAGGGAAGGGTTTTATTATTACTACTTCAAAGCAGCTGTAAGCACAACGTGGAAATATGATTAAAAAACACAAGGAACCAGGGACGGTGCTGCTTGCCTGGGACCCTAGCGGCTCGGGAGGCTCAGGCAGGAGGATCACGAGTTCCAAGCCAGCCTCAGCAATGGAGGCCATAAGCAACTCAGGAGACCCTGTCTCTAAATAAGATACAAAATGGGGCTGGGGATGGGGCTCAGGGGTCCAGTGTTCAATTCCCCCAGCACCCCTCCCAAAGAAAATTAAAAATCAAAAACATAAAAACTGAAAAATAGAGAAGGAAAAACCCTAGGGCCTGGTATGACCATGACTCCACCCTGCCTTATTCTACGTAAGTGAGGCTTACTCAGATCTTATTTCCTGATGGTGCCTGGTCCCATGCCCTCTTTCTCCGCCTGGGGACACCTGTCCCCGAGGGAAGACACTGAGTGGCTGGGCTTGTCTGCCTGTCTCCCCCCAGCGCCCTGCACAGCACCCACAGGGCAACCTGGAAGTCACTCTGCACTGTTCCTGAGCCGCCAGAGAAAGCAGGATTTTCTTAGTTATTTTTATTTATTTGATTATTTTTTGGGGGTGCCGAGGCTTGAACCCTGGGCCTCCCACAGGCCAGGCGAGCCGCCGAGCCCCAGGCCAGCCCAGCCTCTCGCTCTTCTAAAAAATAAAGTAATAGCTCAGAATGAATTAGCATAAATAAAGACACTTACCTATAAAGTCTCCTTTAGTCATTTTTTCGTATAACTTGGCTTTTTCTTCTAATTTTTCCCTGGGAGAAAAAAAGACACAAGTATTAGAAATGGCCTCCCAACTGTCCCTCCTGGTGAGGGGCCACCCCCTCAGGCTGACAGCTGCCATCTGCCCAGGAGGCCTGGCTCACCAGGTGGCCACAACTAAAGGCCACCAGGCTGAGCCAGGACAGCCCCACGGCCCCTGAGGACATGCCTTCCAGTGTCCCAGGACCTCACAGCAGGCCACAGCAGCCCCTCAGTGAACGTGGGACTGAACGAATAAATGGACAAGGTCCCTCTACTCAACCTAACTGCTAACGCAACTGGAATCCACGGTCAATGAGACGCCTGGGAATAAGGACAGTTTCTAGTCGTGGACGCTGAGCAGGAGACCAAAGTGGAGGCCAAGCTTTGTGCATGGCTGCTTTTGACACCGGCCCTGGCCTCTCGTGGACCTGGAAACCAACTTCTTAGAAGTCTATTAAAAATACGACAATGGGGCTGGGGCTGGGGCTCAGGGTAGAGCGCTCACCTCGCACGTGCAGGGCCCTGGGTTCGAGCCTCAGCACCACATAAAAATAAAGAAATAAAGGTATAAAAAAAATTTTTAAAACCATGATGATGTGGGTGCCGCGTGCACACCTGTGATCCCAGCAACTCGGGAGGCTGAGGTAGGAGGATGGAAGTTTCGAGGCCGCCTGGGCAAGACCTCATCTCCAAATACAAAATAACAACTGAGGGGTGGAGCCAGGCGTTGGGGCACCCTGGTCTGACCCCCAGGACCTCGAGAGGAAAAAGAAAAAAAAAAGATCGAGTGTGTCTGGCGGAGGGCATGAATAATGGATGGGACACATTTGCTCATAAAGAGCAGACGACACCTTGGCATTTCGGCGAAGCAGCCTCTCTGCTCAGATTGATTCGGGTGACATTCATTTTTCGCAGGCGCAGGCCGGCTGGAAGGGCAGGCGGATCTTTAATCCAGAAACACTCAATGATAGGAGAGCACCCAGAGGTCACCCGCTCCTCCTCTTGTGAGTGACCTTCATCACAATGGGCCATTTCACTTCTAATGTCATCTGGAGGCTGTGAAGTCCTGGGTCGCTGCTGTCACAAGCTACTGACCTTTCTGTGCCTCAGTTCCCACGGACAGACGGAAAAGGAAACCCAAGGCTACTGCCTCCCAGGGTCGTCCTGGGGATCAACCAGATGCCACACGCACAGCCCTGTCACCCTGGAGACGGCCACGGTCCAGGGCAGGAGGGTCCCCTTTGACTTCCCACAGGCAGCGAGTCCCCACCTTTGGTTGAGGATGGAAGATGAGACCCAGAGACCGGTGCCTCTTCTGCCTCTTGTCCCACCACCTGTCAACCACCTCGCTCCACGGTGTGGGATCTAAGGGAGCTGTGACCCACCCAGGGAGGAGCCCGGACGGCCCTTCCTGGTTCTGAGCCCTGGGGAGGGGAACGTCACGCAGACCAGGGAGATGGGGGCTTGGGTGACAGTCCCCAGTGGGGACAGACATAACCACGTACAAGACAGACTCTGCTGGAGCACAACAGGGCAAGGCCTCGGCACCTGATTCACAAAATTAAAGTCCTGAGCACATGTTCAGTAGCAAAAGGACGTCGCAGTGGCCACACCATGGCTGGGCACGGGGCACATGGCTGTGGTCCTAGCAGCTCAGGAGGCTGAGGCAGGAGGATCACAAATTGAAGGCCAGCCTCAGCAACATAGCAAGGTCCTGAGGAACTTGGCTAGACCCTGTCCCAAAATTACGAAAAAGGGCTGGGGATGTGGCTCAGGGGTGAAGCTCCCCTGGATCCAATCACTGGGACTGAAAAATTTCTAAAAATTAAAATTATAAAAGGCCACGTCTTTAAGTGAAGCCTGTGGTCTGCTGCAGACAGGCCAAGTACCACGCCCCCAGGTGGCTGACATCCTGCCCTGAGTTTCAGAGCCACAACAGCCAAGCAACCCAGTAAGCACTGTTGGCGACCGTAAAGGGTTTTGTTTTATTTTTAGTAATTTTATTTTATTTTGGTACCAGGGATTGAACCCAGGGGCATTTAACCACGGAGCCCCGTCCCCAGCCCTTTATATATTTTATTTAGAGACAGGGCCTCCCTGAGCTGCTGAAGCTGGCCTCTACTTTGCGATCCTCCAGCCTCAGCCTCCTGAGGTTCGGGGATGACAGGTGTGAGCTACCACACCTGGCCAACTAGAAAGTCCTTATCAGCCAGTGTATCCACAACCATCGATGACCATCGGGGCAGACATGACCACCTGGGGCTCTCTGAGTTAAGGGGAACCCTGTCTTTTTGCAGATGTCAACTGATCAACATAATGGAAAAATAATTAAGACAGAATCAGAAAAACCATCATTTTGAAACTGTCCGTGTACTGAGGAGTGGCACTTCTACCAGCAAGGACAGACCACGGCGGGAAAACAGGACATCTAGAGTCTCCAGTTTCCCACCTCAGGCTACGGCTGACTAGGAGCAGGGCCAGGCACGGGGCAGCACACCTACCATCCCAGCTAGTCGGGAGGCTGAGGCAGGAGGATCCCAAGTTGGAGGCCAGTTTGGACAACGTAGTGAGACCCTGACTCAAAATAAAAAATAAAGGATTGGGGACACAGCTCTGAGGAAGGGCCTCCCTGAGTCCAATCCCTAATACTGTGCTAAAGCAAAGAAACCAACCAACAAAATCCTGTTGATGATCTTAGTGTCTATCAACAGTCCAGGGACGGATCCTCTTCATCTTTTAAACCGAGACTGTGTTCTACCATTTTGTAAAACAACAGATACAAATGCAGATTATATTTTTTTTAGGGGACAGTCGGACCTCCAGATCCAGATTCCACATCTCCACACTCAACTCACTAGGGATCAAAAATATTAGGAAAAAATGTCACACTGTGGCTGGTGGGCACTGTGCGGTTAGTGTCTGTGTGGACCGTGGACAGAACTGTTCCTTGTGACCATCCCCAAGCCGTACAGAGTCAGCACTACTTACTCCACAGTCACGTCGTCTTAGCAAACAATTTTCCACAGTCAGCAGGACCATGTGGCTTCTGGGCGAATATTTTGTCATTTTACCTAAAGGGCTCAAGCACCCTTGGCCGTAGGTATCTGCAGGGACGGGTCCTGACCCCAAGGCCCCCTGAACGCGAGGAGCCACTGCGTTGGCACCCACAGTCCACAGAGCACCTGACTAGGGGGACGCGACTTCACATTTGGAAACCGAGAGTCAGATCCGAACGCTGTGTGGTGGCCAGGGCGACCCCCAGGCCTTGGCTCTCAGCCCCACGCACCTCGCCCTGTCCAGCGTCTTCTGCTCCTCAGCCCTCTGTTCCGCATCCTTCTCGGCCCGGGTGGAGACCCCTGTGTTCTGCTTGCTCCAGATGCTGGGTTTCTGGAGGGTGATTCAAAGAGATCAGAAACGCCACCGACCCCACCAGACCAGACCCTCAGCCGTGCACCTCAACAGGAGGACGTCGGGCCAAGGCTTCCCTGAGAACCTGAACAAGCCACGTATCAGCGAAGTGTCCTTTTCTAAAACCAGCATCAATGAGGCAGAGTGGACAGACGGACAATGTGCTCTTACATACTCCCACGGATTCTATTTCAGGGTCTCCTACGCCTCGTGCAGGTGTCTAACTACACACCCATATGCACAGAGACCCCCGACACCTTCTAAACCCTAACACAGCATGAGGACCCCAGGTTTGGGATCAAGGCAGACAATTCAGTCTGGTTTTTACCTTATTCGATGTCTTTGGTTTTTCCCAAACGCCAGAATCTTTCAGGTGCTTTTCTTGCTTGAATTCTTCTTGTTTGCGGAAGAGTTCCGCCTTCAGATCCACCAACTGCAATAAACCACGAGGTGAGCGAGAGGGTCCCATCGGCTCTAGCACGCGACAGGGTCGCTCCGCGATTGCCATTCCCAAAGCCAGACCTCCCTCCCCCTCCAGGGACACGCAACTCAGGGCTCAGACGCAGAATCCCACGCCAGATCAGACCCCTTCCCCCAGCTCTGCTCCAAGGGCACTTCCAGCCTGACTTTCCAAACTCCTGGGCACAGGGGGAGGGAACAACGCAGAGCAAGACATAAATGACGTCTGTGGCATCTATAGATTCAGACTCCACAAGCATCACGCGACTCTGCTCTGAGTGGTGCTGCTGTTGGCTTGTCCCCATGGTGACCTCATTTCATCACCACGACGACGAGTTACCATCCTACAGGGGACGGTCTCTGGTCAGCCACTATCTGAGCACTTCACTAAGTGCTGTCACTGTCACCGCTGAAGAGCAGGAAGCAGATGTGAATCAGACAGGCTCCCTGCCTCCAAGGGCCTACGATCGAATGACAAGGGCAACTGACACTGGCTCAGCCACCAAGCCCACTCTGCGAAAAAGGACATAAGGACAATTTCCTTCCTTAGGGTGGGTCCAGGCACAACGGCTTATATGCATGGGCCTGTGTGCACCAGATGTCCACGACTGACTGGCCTTTCAGGAAAATAAGCACAGCGGAGTTCAATGCTCTCTGTTTTAGAAGAAATCAATTTAAAAGTGACTTTGGGGAGGATTTTAATAACGCAGAGGACAGGCTGGGCACGCAGGGTGCACACCTGTAATCCCAGCCATGTGGGAGGCTGAGGCAGGAGGACAGCAAGTTCGAGGCCGGTCTCAACAACTTAGTGAGACGTTGTCTCAAAATTTAATAAATAATAAAAAGGGCTGGGGAAGTGACTCCGTGGTAGTGTCCCCCAGTACTGGGTGGGGGAACCCCAATAAAGGACAGTTTCCTTCAGGACCTACTGTTGTAAATTCTTAAAGACAAAATGGGGGAGGGAAAGGAGAAATAGTGGGGAATTACATCAGCCCAACTACATTGTGATGTGGTGTGCGAGGACAAACATGTGACACTATTACGTACAACCCATGATGAACGGGGAGAAAAAAAGTTCACCTCATCTTTCAAACCTTCTATTTCTTTTTTTTTTTCTTTTATTACTGGGCATTGGACTCAGGGTCACTCGCCCACTGAGCCCCATCCCCAGCCCTATTTGGTATTTTATTTAGAGACAGGGTCTCACTGTGTTGCTCAGAGCCTCGCTAAGATGCTGAGGCTGGCCTTGAACTCCCGATCCTCCTGCCTCAGCCTCCCCAGCTGCTGGGATGATAGGCCTGTGCCACTGAGCCGGCTCCAAGCCTTCTGAATGACATCAAGTGTCCACCACCCTGTTTTCCGACTCTGCAACTTCTTTCGAATTTGAAAACAAAAATGCTCAGAAAATGACCGATTCCCAGATGGCATTTCTACTATCATCAGGGAACGTTTGATGACTTTTAACATTTCTACCTTTGCGATTGAATTTTATCGATTTATCGGCACCAGGGATTGAACTCAGGGGTGCTTAACCACCGAGCCCCCTCCCCAGCCCTTTTGACTTCTTATTTGGAGACAGGGTCTCGCTGAGTTGCTTAGAGCTTGGCTAAGCTGTTGAGGCTGGCCTCCAACCGGAGATCCTCCTGCCTCAGCCTCCCCAGACGCTGGGATGACAGGCGTGCGCCTTTCCAAGCTGTCACACCTCACAGCTCCCGCGCAGCACATCCCGTGGGGACCCCCTGACCCATCAGTTTCTACAAAGGGGACACGAGGCACGCTCCCCTCGGGGACGAGGTGACAGATGCAATGTTCTGGAAAGAACCCGCTGGCCCCTGGGTGGGAGGGGAACCCCAAACGGGGATCTGCGTGCAGGGCAGGGCCAGGCCGGGCTTCCTTGCAGAGGGACAACGCTGGCCATCCAGGTCCCCGAGGTGGGGGTGGCCCGGCCAGGCTGCGGCCCAGGGAGGCCCGGGGATTCCCGGCCCTGAAGTGTCGCCCGGGTCCGGGTCCCCGTCCGCGGGCTGAGCCGGGTCCGGGTGCTCGTCACGGGGAGAAGCCAGCTCAGGACCCGTAACTAAGGGACCTGTCCCTGTCCCCCGGGCGGGGAGAGGCCGGTCCGGGTTCCCGGTGGGCGGAGCGCCCAGGTCCGGGGCCCGGGATGCGGTGCCCGCGGCATTACGTCACACCCGCACTCACCGAGGAGGCCGTAACGTCCAAAGGCTTTTTCCTCCGGTCCATGGTCACTTTCAGGGTCTCCGGCGCCAAGACGCAGCCCTCCGGAGCGCTCCCGAGCCTCCTATGGCCGCCCGCGGGGCAACCGGAAATGCCTTTGACGAGCGACGCCGAGTTTCCGACGTGAGTTTCCGCCCTCGGCGCCATCTTGAGAACGTCCGTGGGCGGTGCGTACTGTGTTCACCGCCATTTGGGGAAGGTCAGAGGGAGCCCAGGGGTTGAAGAGGGCGGAGGCTATGAAAGGGCGGGTGTTCGACGCCATCTTGAGAAGGGCGAAGTATGACTTTCCTTGCCATGGAGGCCATCTTGAGTAGGGAGGGTTGGGTGGTGGAGGTGGAGGGGCGCCATCTTTAGAAGGGTGAAGCAAGCGCCCAGCATAGCAAAAAACGAAGGTGGATTCCTGAAACTGGGAACACCCAAGGGGCTCATGGAAGACCTGCTGTGTGTCAGGCACCGTCTGTTAATGAATTCATGTTAATTAATTCTCACAAAACTCATGCCACGTGGGAAATGATGATGTTGATGTTAGCAGAAATCATCACTAACCTGCATGCAGTGCTTGCTTATTCTGTGCCATTTCACATATTCAAGTTTATAAAAATATAAACTCCAGAAGGTGGCTTCCTGGGTTGGAATCACTGGGAGGGACTCTCTGGAAACTTCTCTGGGACACCCAATAAAACTGGAGTGAAGGAGACACTTTGTCCCTCTGCTCTCTGAAAGGACCCACTCTCTCCCTTCCAGCCTCTGGAAACTGGAAAAGACAGAGATGGACCCTCTGGTAGGGCCTCCAGCAGGCCAGTACCACAGGGACAGGTGACTTCCAGCCTCATACGGCCCATTGCCACCTCCAGAACAGTAGGAGAATAAATCCGTGTAGCTTTAAGACACTGAATTTGGGGTAGCTTGTTACAGCAGCAAGAAGAAACTGATACAAACTATAACGACTGTAACAATAACATTTCACTGCACATCAGGGCTGTAGATAACTCTTCACCTGGATTGTTTTATTTAATCCTGACAATCCCAGAGGAAGGGCTACTGTCCTCCATGTGAACCAAAAAAAAAAAGAAAAAAAGGTCCAAGAGGTTAAATGACATGCTAGAAGCCATTTCCCAGCTACCAAGGAATGCATCCTGAATCAATGACTATCTCAAACACCCTGAGTTCATTATTTGCAAGTTATTTACTTGTGGAGAGGGGAACTAACAGGGACTGATTTCCTTGGAGGATGCAAGATCCGCCATGATGTTCTGCATCACCTGGGGCCCAATGCTTCGGAGTCAGCCATCTGGGAATGAGACCCCCCAAACCGTGAGCCCCCAATCAACTCCCCTCCTCTCCATGGCTCTTGGCAGATCTTTTGACGACGGAAAAACTTGACTGAAAGGACTCGAGTTTAGCTTTCTCTGCAGAATGCGTGGAGCAGGGTCCCTGGCTGACAACCTCCCAGTTCCCTGTACAGATTTGCAAAACCACCGTGATCACCACCCACGCCACAGAAATTGCTAGAAACCATCCAGAGAGTCTCCCTGCCTCCCCCGGTTCTTTGCATGGAATCCAAGCATGGAAAGCAGAACAGCTTACTCTGGAATCCACCAGAATGTTCTCCTGGCACAACCACCAATTTTTTTTTTAACATATCCAGTTTTTTCCAACTCTTTTGCTTCCAAGCATGTGGGTCTCTCTGGAATTGCCTTCCTCTACCAAGTACCGAAATTGTAAGGCCACCGTGGGGGGACACTCCTTTGCGGGACATGGACTCTTGGTCCCAGGATGTGAACCAAAGCAGCTTAGCTTGAAGGTAGACTCTTGTGTCTCTGCCTCTCAGGTTGTGTTAGCTTTGCACTCCATCAATTCATTTCCCCCCCAACTAACTGTCCTGGGGAAAGTGGGAATCTTAAGCAACTGGTCTCTATTTTATTTCTGCAAGGAAGGACCTGGCATGAGGTCGTGTCAGACAGAGGCTACGGAGCAGGTGAGACAAGCTAGAACTGGAGAGGCCAGCTGAGTCTGTATATCTGGGACCAGAGGACGACCATGGGGCTTCCCCTGCAGGCCACTGTGGATGACAGAAGTACTAAGAACCCTGCAGCCTCAAAAGACCTGGCAATGCCGAGCGCAGTGGCTCACGCCAGCAATCCCAGCGAGTCAGGAGGCCGAGGCAGGAGGATTGCAAAGTGGAGGCCAGCCTCAGCAACTTGGTGAGATCCTGTCTTAAAATTTAAAAAAATAATAATAATAAATTAAAAGGGCTGGGGAGGTGACTCAGGGGTAGAGCATCCCCGAGTTCAATCCCCAATACGGGAGGAGGAGGAGGAGGAGGAGGATGAGGAGGGGGAGGCCCCCACATCATTGCCGAGTCCTGAGCTCCTTATTGCAGATGCCCTGATGTCCACTTTTCATTTCCTGCCTGGTCTTGATGGACAAACAGATAGAGGCAAACAGAGCTGGAGCCACCGCCGGGGGAGGGAGGCCCTGCAAGAGGCCCTGTAACGGAGGCTGCGGCCCTCTGGGTCCTGTGGGGAAGAGGAGAGAGGTCTCTGTGGGAAGGGGGCTGGGGGCATGATCTTAGAGGACCCATGAGCTTGCTGCTTCCCGTGGCCCTCTGGGATTGTCCAGAAGAAGAAGGAGAAGCCGCACACACAGCCTCCATCCTTCCTAAGTTGCTGAGGCCGGCCTCCAACGGTGATCCTCCTGCCTCAGCCTCCCAAGAGGCTGGGATGACAGATGTGCGTCACCCTGTCCGGCCAGGGCCCCTTCCTTTGGTTCCCACATCCATGAATTCATGTGGCCCATGAATTTATTATTATTAATAATAATACTTATTAATATTAATAGCCCCTCCACACTGGGAATCCTGCGGAGTGTTCTTCCCGGGCCATGGAGACCTCACTGAGGATTCTTGTGCCCATTTTGCAGATGAGACAGAGGCTGGGGGAGGGAAGGGACTTGTGTGAACACCCTGTGGGCTTCTGAGGGGATCTCACGCAGGCTGAGAGCGGGTGTCCATGGTGGGGGGTGCCAGCTAAGCCATAACCAAATGATTGGAAGAGAAAAGGGGGGGCGGATGAATTTAAGGATCAAACAGGAAATAGGGAGTCCCTTAGGTCAGAAAGGAGGCCAGTCGTGAACCAGGGAGAGGAAGGAAGGGAGATGGAGGGGGGTGGGCAGGACCCAGGCCCTGCCTGGGGCGGTTATGGTTTCCAGGTGAGGCGTCACCCAAATCCAGACAGGTGGACACTTCTGAGAGCCCCCATTGTATGATCAAGGAGGTTCAGAGAGGTTAAGTGACTGACCCAAGGTCACACAGCTTGATAAACCTTAGAGCCAGGACCCGGAAACCAGGTTCCTCTGGCTTCATGACCCCCAATCTGTTTTTGTTTTTTATGTAATAAATTCTAACATCTTCCAGGTTTTTTTTTTTTTTTTTTTAAATAATAATACTTGATGGGTGCAGTGGTGTACAACTGTACTCCCAGCTACTCAGGAGGCTGAGCGAGGCAGGAGGATCGCTTGAGCTCAGGAGTTTGGGGCAGTAGTGCGCTAGGCCAGTCGGGTGTCCCCACTGCAGCCAGCCTGGGCCACACAGCAAAAGTCCATCTCAAAAAAGAGAAACAAAAATATCCAGGCGAGCTAGAGCAGCCGAAGGCACCAGCCTCTGCCCAGGGCCTCCGCCGTCGGGACCCGCCCCCCTGGGGGCGTGGTCTCTTGAGTGACGGGGCGGCCCCGGGGTTTGCAGGCTCCTCTGCCCCAGGCTCAGAGCCTCGCAGAGCCCAGCGAGTGGGTGAGTCTCCCGATGTGGCCTGTTGAGGACAGGGATGGCTGGGCAGGCTGCTTCCTGCTGCTTAAATAATTAAAAAAGAAAAAAAAGAAAAGAAAAGAAAAAAACTCCTCCTGGTAATTTAGAGAAAAACAAAACAAAACAAATCAAACCCTGACTCTCACAAGCTCCAGGGTGAGGCTCATTAGTGACAGACGGTTTGTCATAGGAGAAGGACCAGGGCTGGACGCTGGGTGTGAGGCTGATGAGGCTCAGAGGGGCGTGGGGTGGGAACTGGGGATGAACTTAGGGGTATTCGACCCCTGAGCCCCGTCCCCAGCCCTATTTTGTGTCTTATTTAGAGACAGGGTCTCACTGAGTGGCTTAGGGCCTCGCTTTGGCTGAGGCTGGCCTCCAACTTGCGATCCTCCTGCCTCAGCCTCCCCACCCCAGGAAGGAAACTTCTCAGCTCATGGGGTGCTTAGGAAGAAGAGGGAAACAGAGATGGAGGGAGGGAAGGACCGGGTTTAGGGAAGATGCACCCTCTTCTAGCACCACCCCACCTGACAAAGGTTATCATCCAATCCATTCAAACTAGAAGGACTCATTAGGTTCTAGCTCTCTCAGTCCAGCCAATTTAGTCGTGAATATTATTATTTTTTTTTACTTTTTCTTCCAATGCTGGGGATTAAACCCAGGGACACTTTACCACTGAGCTAAATCTCTAGCCCTTTTCATCTTTTTTTTTTTTTTTTTTTTTGAGATGCTAAGTTGCTGAGGCTGGCCTCCAATTTACACTCCTCCTGCCTCAGCCTCCCAAGTTGCTGGGATTGGAAGTGGGCACCACCACATCTGCTTACCTCTGAATATTCCTGCAGGAACAGGAGCTTTGTGGGGGGCCCGTCATCTCCAAACCGTAGTAGTGCAGCTCAGGAGGCTGAGGCAGGAGGATCGCAAGTTGGAGGCCAGCCTCGGCAACTTAGTGAGGCCCTAAGCAATTTACCAAATAAAAATAAAATTAAATTAAATTAAAAAGGGCTGGGGATGTGGCTCAGTGATAAATTGCCCCTAGCCTCCCATTAGCTTTGCCGTGGACAAGCCCTGTGACTGCGGTTCTGATGCTAATTCATGGTTGCCTAGGTTACTTTCAGGCCTTGAAGACGGATTCTGCTTGACTTGAACCTGCAGGTGCCAGAGAGGTGACTGGAACAGGAGGCAGAGACCTGGCATCTCTGCCTTGGTATTGCCTCTGTCCCCCACGCGCTGGCCACTTGAGAAATGTTTTGTCTAGAACTACCATACAGGACCCGTGTCCCTGG